TTGTAGCGACAACCAAAAGCTTCTTACCTACAGGTGAATCCACATTTAGTTGATATAGGTACGTCACTAATTTCGAAATAGCTCTCGTCCCTAACAACGAGATGGTGCCTGCCCTACACTGTGTCGTGTCGTAGTCTGTGGTGTTGTCAAATAAAGTGATCTCAATTACTCGAATAAATTTTATTATATTTGTTCAAAATCTACCCTGTACCATTGTAAGCACAGATTATTATATTAGAGTCCGTTAGTTTGTGTTCCCGCGGCCTTTGGTTCCCCTCCCTTACCTAGTACTGAACTGACCGTACAGCGGCCTTAACGCGCGCGCGCATTGTGTTGTGAATTAAAATAAATTAGAACTGTGTTAAACCTACTGTGAAACTGAAAAGCTAGCGAAGATATCTTCGAGACCCTGAAGCCCAAGAAATCCGCAGAACCATACAGGTACGTGACAGACGCTTCCCTATATATATACATAGTACTTTCCCTAACATTTTGGTAGCAGAGAGTAAATTCCCTAACATTTTGGTGTTATACACGTGGCGACCTATTTCCCAATTAGTGACAACAATTTAGAACTTGCCCTACCCCGTCTAGGCTGGGTCCGTTGGAACCTGGGTAATTATGCTAACGCGCCCTCGTGACTTCGCCAATGGTGCTCGTAAGTACACCGTATGATCTTTTTGTGGGTAAGAATCTCACACCTCCATCCTACTACCAGGGAGCCCTCATCACGGAGAATGGTCTGACAGATTTTTCCACGTGATAAATGGTATGTCACTATTTGACTCATTCATAATGGAAAAGGTCTCATTTTCGATAGTAGTCAGACCTCCATACTACAGCTATAAATTTCATATTATGTTCGTCACTTTTGAAGTGGAATGTTGCGTGAGAAGGAAACAGATATGTGCGAGAGAGAGGGAAAGTAAGAAGGAAATAGAACAAAATACAATGGAGAAAAAAATACACACAAATAAAAACTTTTATTTGTTTCTACAAAAATTAACTGACTACTTATTTTCATCCGCTTGTCATTTTTTACTCATATTTTAGCTGTTATTATTGCCAGTTGGGCATAAATAAAGCAAATGTAAGAAAATATAGGCTGTCCTTCACCGAAAGACACATAAACCATACTCGTACGCTTTAATTAACTGTTTTCTTGAGACGGTATATAAATAGTTGCGTGATATTACAGTGTTTTTAAACAAATCTCGTCATACGTAACTTTGTAAATATTTGTTCGCGCGAGAGTCGGAGATCAAGAGGCATTTGAACGACACTGCGTTACAAAATTTATTATACTTACCAACTAAGACCTTCTTTACGAGGGCATATGTTCTAAACAGAACCGGCGGCCAATATGATGCTAATTGATGTTGTGACATATATATACTCGTTTGTTTATTGTTAAAGTGTCTGGTGAAATTGTGTTAATAAATAAATAAGACGGTAAAAGGTTACTTATTATGGGTACTAGACAACTGATATAAATATTTAAATGTATGTATTTTTTGTAAGTACATAGAAAAAACGCAGATCGACACAATCAATCATACTCATCAATACAATTGTTTGCACCGTGCGAGGAATCGAACTGTCTCGGCCATCGAAAGTAAAGCGATGTGCTAAACTGCTAGATCACCGAAGCCGTAAAATATATAGAGAATAGACTAATACTGTTTGTCTTTAATATTATTTATCTGTAGTCTTACTGAATGATAAATTATTTATGGTCGAATTTCGAGTGGTCGAGTGTATAAATTAGACCAAAGGTTATCAACACATGGCCCTTTGTTATGCGTGTAATCACTTAATTTGACAGCTGCCCGGTCGGGCCGAGCGACCCCGCGCTCGATACTATCTCTATACATTATAATTAACATGAAACTGCGAATGCCACATACAAATTGCAATTACCACGTTATAAATAGACGACCTGTTGAGTTGTACGGGTGCAAGGCTGGTGTTAGAGTCGCCAATCATCTTGTTTTCCCAGGACATGTCCTAGTTTCTGTAGCATCCTCGCCAACCGTCCCCTTTTACTAAGACATGTCCTAGTTTCTGTAGAATCCTCGCCAACCGTCCCCTTTTACTATAACATGTCCTAGTTTCTGTAGAATCCTCGCCAACCGTCCCGTATTCCCAGTACATATCCCAGTTTCTGTAGCAACCTCGCTAACCGTCCCGTTTTGTCAGGATATGTCCTAGTTTCTGTAGAATCCTCGCCAACCGTCCCGTATTCCCGGGACATATCCCAGTTTCTGTAGCATCCTCGCCAACCGTCCCCTTTTACTATGACATGTCCTAGTTTCTGTAGAATCCTCGCTAACCGTCCCGTATTCCCAGTACATATCCCAGTTTCTGTAGAATCCTCGCCAACCGTCCCGTTTTCCCAGGACATGTCCTAGTTTCTGTAGAATCCTCGCTAACAGTCCAGTTTTACTAGGACATATCCTAGTTTTTGTAGAGTCCTCGCCAACCGTCCAATTTTACTAGGACATATCCTAGTTTTTGTAGAGTCCTCGCCAACCGTCCAATTTTACTAGGCCATATCCTAGTTTTTGTAGAGTCCAGTTTTACTAGGACATATCCTAGTTTTTGTAGAGTCCAGTTTTACTAGGCCATATCCTAGTTTTTGTAGAGTCCAGTTTTACTAGGACATATCCTAGTTTTTGTAGAGTCCAGTTTTACTAGGCCATATCCTAGTTTTTGTAGAGTCCAGTTTTACTAGGCCATATCCTAGTTTTTGTAGAGTCCAGTTTTACTAGGACATATCCTAGTTTTTGTAGAGTCCAGTTTTACTAGGCCATATCCTAGTTTTTGTAGAGTCCTAGCCAACCGTCCCGTTTTTCTAGGACACGTCCTAGTTGTTGTAGTCCTCGCCAACTGGACTGTATTTCCGGGACGTATCCTAGTTTCTGTAGAGTTCTCGCTAACCGTTCCGTTTTCTCAGGACTTGCCTAGTTTTTGTAGAGTCTTAGCCAACCGTCCCGTTTTTTCCAGGACATGTCGTAGTTGTAGTCCTCGCCAACTGGACTGTTTTTCGGGACGTATCCTAGTTTCTGTAGAGTTCTCGCTAACCGTTCCGTTTTCCCAGGAGATGACCCAGTTTTTGTAGAGTCCTGGAACGGTTTGAATAGTTATAAGCGGCGTTTTGGCGTTTGAAATCTTAAATTTGGGTTATCGTTACATAGTATAAAATGAAGTAGGCTCCGCTGTTTGTTCGCAGTCGCTGTAGGTCTACCACGAAGTGCAATTCCGAAATTTCGGATCGATATTTCGTGTGATTCGTACCATGAAAAACGTTCATTCCGAAATCGTGCCCGAAAACGGAGAATATCGTTTCGATCGTCCCACTGGTTCTAAAATTGGGTTATTAAATTATAGTATAAAATAAAGTGGCTTCCGCTGTATGTTTGCTTAGATCTTTTAAACTACGTAACGGATTTTAATGCAGTTTTTAGCAATAGTTACAGTAAATCTATAGGAAGGTTTATATTTAGGACAAGTGTATTATGTAACAGCTGATGATCATGATTCGCATCATCACTTAACATCGGTGAGGTTGCGGTCAAATGTATTCAAATTTCGTAATAATAAAAAATCGAACCTATATGCTCATTTTATCATCCTCCATTGTTGGCCCGCTAGATTAATCCGTAAGCCCTGTCAGCGCAGGCGCATCATTCCATTCATCCATAAAACCAAAAAACTATTTCAGTCACTTAAAAATAAACAATATTTCTAACAGACATGTATTTAGTTTCTTACATATTATCTCTTATATTTATAGTTTATTTATGTGTATATACATATATGCAGCTATTTATTCATATGTTTTTGTATGTTAGAGCAAGAGCCCACGACGGCCAGATATATTATATTATTAGTAATTGTGAAAGTTCTTGTATGTGTGTCCCCAACACAGGTAAGATCCCCAAACATGAAACCTGGATCGTGGTTCCTTTGGCAGTTAACAGGTAACAAAGGTGTAAAATATTTCATATCATATTCGGTATTTTAAGAAACTCTATTTATTCACATATTATTCGTAACAGTATTATTACTTGCGCTGCTCATTGCCGGACACTTAGTATAGATCCAACCCCCCGCCGGACACCCCTAAACTGTATTATTTTATAAAGATACTTACGTTATTTTATTAATAATAATATAAACACGTTGCATATCCCCTCCTCTACAATAGACCTATTACAAAAAGCCGTCATACTAAACACATGCCGAATAGTCAGAAAATTTCTATCTTCATCACATAACTCATCCATGCTTGGCTAAGGCCCGCGTGTTTGAATATATTACCCCCGTAAAAAGGGAGATATAATAAATATATATATATATATATATATATGTAATAATAATAATAATAATATAATAATAATAATAATTATAAATTCTAAATATTACACATTCACAATAACTTCTTACTTTAAAAACATATTAAAGCTGAAGTTTATATATCTTAATCAGACAACTATTAAACTGTATTTCCTAAATTGCCAGACAGTTTTGTTGGTTGTATCATCCTACCAGCCGCACTGATAGCGCAATTATTCTCTGCAGCATACCGATGGTTGACTGGTAGATGCCGCATGGTGTTAAGTCCGCCATATGTACTTTAAAATGATGTAATAAAGTTTAAATGTATTAAATAAATTTGACGACCTCGGTGGTCCAGCGGTCTAGTACACCGCTTTACGACCGATGGTCGCGGGTTCGATTCCTCGCACGGCACAAACATTTGTATTCATGAGTATGATTGTTTGTATCGGTCTGGGTGTTTTCTATATATAATATGTATGTATTTACAAAAAAATATATATCTATGTATTTGTATCAGTTATCTAGTACCCATAACACAAGCTTTAGCTAGCTTAACTTGGGTCTAGATGGCGCTGTGTGAATTGTTCTAAGATTATTATTATTATTATTAAATATTCTCGATGATGACGAGATTGATGATGAATATGACGTTACAGTGACGCAGAACACGACGAATCTGCACGTGTTGAACGCGACCATCGACGAATTGGACGTATCCCAAGCTGTGTTCAGGCGGCTCGTGTCTATGTCACTCACAGACGGCGATATCGGCAAGATTGTTGGTTAGTACACAAATAGAAATCATTATTGTTTTCTTCAATCTTTATTCTTTATTAAAATTCTTATGTTTATTCAAATATACTATACCTTGTGCGCTGTGCGGGTGACAGTTTCAGTAACGTTTCGTTTCACTCTTGAAAGTTTCCGCCACAGTTGAGAATTTACAAGTTATGACTTAATATTTCAGCTGTACCATAGCTTTATGCATGCAAAGTCTCAGCCCGATCGGTTTATAATTGACAAAGTTTCATACAAACTTTCATCCCCTATTTTATCCCCTTGGGGGTAGAATTAAATAAAATCCTTTCTTAGCGAATGCCTACGTCACAATATCTACCTGAATGCCAAATTTCAGCCCGATCCGTCCAGTGTTTTGGGCTGTGCGTTGATAGATCACTATATCAGTCACCATTGAGTTATATATATTTAGATTAATAACTGTAGTAATTTAATTAATTCCAGCCAAAATGTTCTAGTCTACAAATAAAGACAATTGTCACCCTCACCATGCTACAGCGCACGTGGTAGATCTTTTGAATAGTCATACATATAAAATAATAAAAATTAATCTAAATTAAATCTTAAATAACCGAAAAATATTTTGAATAAAGATATGTACTACATGAATATATGAATAAAGATATTTTGAATTTGAATTTAAATTTTGAATTTTGGTATTCTAATGCTGTTGGCCGCAGCTAGCCTTACAGCTTCATTCAACGATAACGAGAGCAAATGGCACTCCAAACCTTACTTATGGAGACTCCAGACTTATGGAGACTTTAGTCTGAGGGCACCGCTAGGGGTTCGAATCTTGACTCATTTTTTTAAGTTCTCTCTCTTAATCTCTAATTTGAAGAGTGAAGATTCAGGAGTGACGAAACTACGGCGTCAATTATCTTGTTGTATCTGTAACACTCTATATACAGCCTTGGCCAAAAGTATTAGGCACCCCAGAAAAATGCACAATTCATGTTTACCAATTGAACAATGAATAAATGCTTATCTTAGATGGCATACCGGGGTCACAAATACCTTCCTACAAAAGCAAACCTCTATTTTTGATGGTCATAAAACAACTGGTGACTGAAAAGAAAGGATTCGATTTTTTGCATTATTATTAGTCAATGTTTGGTCACTTGTATTCAAGACTCTAACTAGTAAACAAGTTTTTATATCTCACTCAGTGATTAAATTGACGCCTAATTTACTTAAAAATACCGAAAATAAGTGAAATTAGTTTGGAAAATCTAGTAAAAATATAACTTCTCCATGAACAGGGGAAGTCGCAAAAAAAAATTACTAAGTTAGTCAAATGTTCGCGTTTCGCCGTGCAATTTGCCATCAAACGGTTTGCTCAGGCTGGCAGTCATGCTAATAATCCAAAAACAGGCAGAAAATGTGTGACTTCGAAGCATGAGGATAGAAAATTAATACGCGAATCTATGAAAGATCGGAAGAAAACATCATCAAACCTTGCTGCTGCTTTGTCCGAAGAGACTGGAAAGCCAATAAGTGCTCGGACCACCAGAAGACGACTTCAAGAAACGGGCTTAAAAGGATACAAAGCCAGGAAGAAGCTCTGGCTTTCAGAAGCTAGCTGGCTTGAATTGGCTCTACGACATTGACATTTCAGTGAGGAAGATTGGGCCAATGTGGTGTGGTCTGACAAATCTAACTTTGAAGTAAGTAAATTTTACTGCTTTTGTTATTAATAATCATTGTCAGCTATTTATTTTACTGAAATAATAAAAGTTAGGGTAGTTTAAAAAAACTTTTTATTTTCATTTTTCAACAGATATTTGGAACGCCAGGTGTGACCTTCGTGAGGCGACGTGTGGGCGAAGAATACCATTCAGATTGAGTTGTACCGACGGTAAAGCACGGAGGAGGCAGCGTAATGATCTGGGGCTGCATGGATGCTCAAGGGGTTGACGAAATGTTTATTTGTGAAGGTCATAAGAACAGCGAAAAGTACATAAAAGTGCTTGAAACTGCGCTTATACCTTCGCAAACGAGTATTTTCGGCGATACCAACTTAGACGGAGTCATATTTTAGCAAAACAATGTACCTTGTCATAAGTCAGCGACTTTGATATATTGGTTTATTGAAAACAACATTGTCTTGTTGCATGGGCCAGCACAGTCCCCAGATTTGTACCCAATTGAGCATCTTTGGAGAATTTTGAAGCGCAAGATTAAAGAGCATAGTACTACATCGAAAACGGTATTAAAAATGGGTTAGTATAAGAATGGCATGCCATTATAAGGGAGGATTGCACTATGCTTGTACGCAGTATGCCAGCTAGAATTAGTGCAGTAATGAAATCCAAAGAAGGAATGACTAGATTATAAGTTTTTTTAATTCTTTTTTGTGTAATTTAATGGTAATAAATCAATTCAAAAAGTATAAGTTGTCTCTAATTATTATTTTTAGTAAAATGTAGGGTGCCTAATACTTTTGGCCAAGGCTGTATATACTAGCTGTCCCGGCAAGGGTTTGTTTTGCCTTAAAATAAAAATAAAATTTAGGGGTGGACTACCCCTAACATTTAAGGGGATGAAAGATGTTGGCCGATTCTCAGACCTACTCAATACGCTCACAAAATTTCATGAGAATAGGTCAAGCCGTTTCGGAAGAGTATGGGAACGAAAACTGTGACACGAGAATTTTATATATAAGATATATTCCATCATGTGGGCTGTTATTTGAACTACTCATTTATTATATTTCAACATTTTCTGGCATAACCTCCAGCATCGGAACATAACGGAAGTCAAACGATTCTTACTAGTGAGTATCATCTTAAAATATATGTCAAATACATGGTAGTGTATAATACCATCTATTTGACATACACACTTATTTATAACTAACTGTACCCGCGACTTCGTCCGCGTGGAGTTATACTTTATTTTTCTAAAATAAAAGTAGCCTAAGTGAACCTCTATTACATCAGCTACCTGCCAAAAAAAATCCCGTTAAAATCGGTTCAGCCATTTCAGAGATTAGCCAGAACAAACAGACCGACAGACAGACAGACAAAAATTGTAAAAAAATGTCATTTTGGTATACCTATGTACCATATTAATATTCATATGTATGTAGTAGAAAACGGTTATTTTAATATTACAAGAAAACACTCCAATTTTATTTATATGTATAGATTAAAGTCTGTGGTCAATTTGAGAAGCTGTTTGCTTTTAATGTTATAATATTTGTCTATAGTGTTACAGAATGTTAAACTTAAATTTAAATTAATTATGATCTAATTTCGAATACTGGGTGACCACTAGAATATCTTTTTGTTATAAAAAAAATATATCGGTATAATATATACATTCAGTAATACTATAGACAAAAAACAGTATAAGCAAACATTTGTCTTCTCAAATTGACCACAGACTTTAATTGTAAAGAAAAAAGTAATGTAAATTTATTAAATTTAAAATAATTGTGATCTAATTTCGAACACTGGGTGACTATTAAAATATTTTTTTTTGTTATAAAAAAAAATATAACGGCATTACCGTGGCAGATTTCCGTAGTCAGTGCAGTGACCTGACTACAGACACTATTTATATTTCTATTATTACTAGCTGAGCCCGCGGTTTTACCCGCATTAAATGTCAATAGAAATATAGCCTATATGTTATTCTGATCATCATCATCATCATCGCAGCCCGGAAGACGTCCACTGCTGGACATAGGCCTCTCCCAAAGATCTCCACGACGATCGGTCCTGCGCTGCTCGCATCCAATGCCTTCCAGCGATCTTGACCAGATCGTCGGTCCACCTTGCTGGAGGCCTTCCCACGCTGCGTCTTCCGGTCCGTGGTCGCCACTCGAGGACTTTACTGCCCCAACGGCCATCTGTCCTACGAGCTATGTGCCCTGCCCATTGCCACTTCAAAGTCGCAATTCTGATGCATAAGCTATATTACTGAAGTTTCATCATAATCCGTTCCATTATAATATTACTAGTTCTACCCACGACTTCGTCCGCGTGGAATTTAACTAAAATAAAAATAGCCTCAGTTACTCCTTATTACATCAGCTATCAGCCAATAAAAGTCCCGTCAAAATCGGTCCAGCCATTTCAGAGATTAGTCGGAATAAACAGACAGATAGACAGACAGACAATAATTGTAAAAATGTATCGTATTTATATTCATAAGCGTGTAGTAAAAAACGGTTGTTTCAATATTACAAACAGACACTACAATTTTATTTATATGTATAGATGTAAGATTATATGTGTATGTTAGTCTATCAGGTATTTATAATATGGGCCAGTAATAGCCTGAAATAATAATAATAATGATAATAATAATAATAATCTCAGGACAATTCACACAGTGCCATCTAGACCCAAATTAAGCTACCTAAAGCTTGTGTTATGGGTACTAGACAACTGATACAAATACATAGATATGCTTTTTTTTTCGTAAATACATACATATTATACATAGAAAATACCCAGACCGATACAAACAATCGTACTCATGAATACAAATATTTGTGCCGTGCGAGGAATCGAACCCGCGACCATCGGTAGTAAGGCGGTGTGCCAACCGCTAGCCCACCGAGGCCGTCAAAAAAAAAAAATTATTTCGCAGGTCAATTCCCGAAGTACTCATCGCTAGCGTGTCTGAACATCTCCAACAACAACCTCACCAGTTCCAAGCTGCAGCCGTCTATACAGCGCCCGTTTGCGTACCTCTTCAACCTGACGGTCCTGGACGCCTCCGGGAACAACCTCACAGAGTTCCCTCTCAGTCTGGTGCATAGCAACAGGAATATCTCAGTGGATTTGTCAGGTAATCAACGTCTATGTGACAGACTCGACCCATTGGCTTTGCGGCGTGATATTGCATCTCTGTGCATTTTCTACCGCATATATCACGGGGAGTGTTCTGAGGAATTGTTCGGATTAATACCAGCTGCTGAGTTTCACCACCGTACCACCCGCCAGAAACTGAAATACCATCCTGATCAGCTGGATGAATGGCGGTCTTCCACCGTGCGGTTTTCTAGAAACTTTTTGCCTCGCACAACCACATTATGGAATTACCTTCCAGCAATGGTATTTCCGAACCGATACGATATTGAAACCTTCAAGAAAAGAGCTTATTCCTTTTTAAAAGGCCGACAACGTACTTGCAATTCCCCTGGTGTTGCGGGTGCTCATGAGCGGCGGTAATCACTTACCATCGGGTGAGCCGCATGCTCGTTTGTCCCCTGTGTTATAAAAAAAAAAGGTAAATTTTATATATAGTTCTTGTTTTATTGGAAAAAATGGTTTAAAAATTGAATACCAAACTTTAGTAATGAAAACGAAAATATTTATTATTATTTACAGTAAATACTAATTAATGAATTGTACTATTTTTAAATAAATAATTTACTGTACTAGTTAGTTAGTTAATTAACTAAAGTAGTTTGGCTATTTATATAGCTGAATATAGAGTCACCAGGGTCACCAAACGGCTCGTTTTTCCAGGACATTTCCTAGTTATTGTAGTCCTCGTCAACCGTCCCGTTTTTCCAGGACATGTCCTAGTTTGCGTACGGCGAAAGGTCGAACCTCGGACCGCTATCAAATATTACATATTTGCCGCCATCAACAAATATCGTTAGAGATTGAAGATCGCCCAGTTATAAGACACACTTCGAATTTGCTGGTCCTCTCGAGTACCAAACTATAAAGAACTGGCCCACGGTCGGTGTCTCATATTAATTTTATGTCCTGTATTTTATAATTCAAAATGATAAATAGCCAGCAGTTTTTTCTGGACCTCGTTAAAATTTTCTCACGCTATACGGCCCCCATCTAACAGATCTATATATTCCATCGTGTGGCTTGTCCATATCCAATTAAAATTTCGAACTATATTTTCAGTAAAAAATTTACTACACTAGTTAGTTAGTTAATTAACTAAAATAGTTTGACTATTTATATAACTGAATTTTGTGTTGGAAACCCTAACGTTTTGTTCATCGGACTGCCTTTCTCTTTATATATATCAACTAGACTGTAAGTCCTAACATTTTGTTCAACGGACTGCCTTTCTCTTTATATATATCAACTGGACTGTTAGTCCAGTAGATCGTGGCAAGGCAAAAAATATAAATACGTAGACCAGACAGCGCAACGTTACCGTAAAAAAAGGTTGGCAATTCCCAACTACGCAATACTCACACTAATAGAAATAGAAATAATCTTTATTCAAATAAACTCATTACAAGCACTTTTGAATAGTCATATTTTGATTCTACCACTCATTCGGAATGCAGATTCATCACAAGAAGAATGAGCAAGAAACTTGTGTGTTGCTCTTTTTAATAGATGTTTTTTTTATATAAATAATTACAGTATAACAAGTAAGAGGCATGCGATAATCAACATAGAAGTCGCTACGCACTCATTATTAATGTAATCAGATAATATTGTCAGTGCTATGGATTTTAAGTTTTTCTATAAAAACATTATTATCGTTAACGAATTCTTCAATTTTATAGTAAGCTTTTTTGCAAAGGAACTGTTTTATTTGACATTTAAATCTTTTTTCTGGCAGATTTATAACAGACTCTGGTATTTTATTGTAAAACCTTACGCAATTGCCATAAAACGAATTACTAACTTTAGCCAAACGACATTTAGGTAAAATCAGTTTGTTATTGTTACGTAAGCTTTTATTAGTGCAATCACTAACTCTTTTGAAACCGTCTATATTCCTTCTGGCATAGATGATATTTTCATAATACATATAAAGTAAATAAGTACTTACTTACTAAGAATAATTTTCACATTTGTGTTTTCTCTCTTTCATAAATAAAAAAATACTATACTACATGATTGTGTACTGTTTTCTTTTCTTTTTTATTTAATTCTAACATTTAGGGACTTTTATACAATCTAAGTATATGCCAGTCCCATTGTACCCTAAAACTCATCACTCTATTACCTCACTAGTGAACAAATTGCCTTAGCCGAACTGTCTGAAGGATAGGCTAAAACAGTTTGTACTGAACTATGCTGTTTAATTTATGATTTCAATAACTATGTAATTGGTAGATCGCACAGGGTTTCAATAGTAAACAGATCTTGGGTCTTATCAAGCTGGCTGTTAGAGTATCCAAATACTTAATATTTAGAAAAAGTTATTTTATTATTTTGTACTCTGTGCTTAGATTATTTTCCTAATGTTGTCGTCCGTTTCCGGTGCTCGAATAAAGAACATACAATCGTCGTCGTCCGTCTTTATTATTTTATATAAAACCCAAGCGGCTATCCTCACAACGCAAGACACTGGCCACCTCTGGTGTACCCCCTTCAACAGAGGTTACGCTTTTTCGTGACCGAAAATTGGGTTAATTAGGATTTCCGGTTACGAAAACGTTATCCGTTCTATATGGAAAATTCACTTCAAACTTTCCAATTTCAGGGAACAAGTATCTTCCATGCAAGCACTTCCAGAAAGCGATGTACGAGACCAACAACAGTTCCCTGGTGACCTTCCTCCACTATAATCAGACATACTGCGCACTAGACCTGGAGTTCAACTGGTTCAAAGATGTGCAGATTGTGCTGATCGACCATCTGCGGGTGCAGAAAGAGGTTGGTGACTCCAAGACACTTCATTATTTGATTTATTCTAACCACACAGAGTTCCCTATCAGTCTGGTGTATAGCAGCAGCAATAAACACCTATATACATAAATAGACATTGTAAATAGTCTGGTTTCTAAAACGACCTTGGTGGTATAGCGGTCCAGCACACCGCTTTATATCCAATGGTCGCGGGTTCGATTCCTCGCACGGCACAAACATTTGTATTCACGAGTATGATTGTTTGTATCGGTCTGGGTATTTTCTATGTATAATATGTATGTATTTACGAAAAAAAAAAATTTAGCTAGCTTAACTTGGGACTAGATGGCGCTGTATGAATTGTCCTGAGATTATTATTATTATTATTATATTATTAAAAAAAAATAGAAAATTCAATTGAGTTCTTGTCAGTTCTTATCAATTGAATCTGTATACTGAACTGGACGGTAGAGTAAAAACATAAGCAGTTAAAATGTCCTACATGAATAAATGAATTTGTTCTTTGCCCGCTTTACCACCCACATGAAATTTCTGTTGTATAAGCTATATTACTGCAAAAATCATCAAAATCCGTTCAGTACTTTTTGCGTGAAAGAGCAACAAATAGCGGATGGCTATTTGTCGCTCACAAACTTCTTTCGCTTCACTTGGCGTTTATAATATTAATAAGAGAGTGAAACTTAAGTAGCTAAAATCATGATGTACAGCTCAACGCCAGTTGCCGAAGAATGGAACCTGAGAATATCAACTGCACTTGCGTGTTGGAACGTCTGGAGCTGGTGGGGAAGAGGTGACCAACCTGGTCGCTGTGGACTGCTCCCAGCGACACCTGAAGAGGATGCCCACCAACCTGCCTCCGAATACAGTGAAGCTCAATATATCTTACAACAATGTGAGTGGACCCATACCTTACTAGTACCCATTGCTTACTATTTCTACATTTAATTGTAATATTTGCGCGTCCGTACTGAAAATCAGCGCTGGAAACTATTTCCAGCATTATACTGAGTTGTGGCCCACATTGACTCCGTTTTTTAATGTGTAAATTATTCTTGTATTTCTTATGTTATTACTGTAAAAACGAGTTAATAAAAATTCTATTCTATTCTATTCTATTCTACATTACCCTGCATTACGTTCTGTATTCGGAAAGCAGTTTCGGTCCTATAGTGATTATTAATTGATCATTGATCGATGGCGTCGGTGATCTAGCTGTTTGGCACACCGCTTTATTTCCAGTGGTCGCGGGTTCGATTCCTCGCACGATGCAAACATTTGTATTCATGACTATGATTGGTCTCTAACTATGTATGTATTTAGAGGATAAAAAGTAACTAAGTATTTATATCAGTTGTCTAGTACCCATAACACGAGCTCTGCTTACCGTGGGACTAGATGGCGCTGTGTTAATTGTCCAGGGTTATATATTATGTGTACATATGTATATTACGTATATATTTAAAAAAATATCTAAGTATTTATATCAGTTGTCTAGTACCCATAACACAAGCTCTGCTTGCCGTGGGACTAGATGGCGCTGTGTTAATTGTCCAGGGTTATATATTATGTGTACATACATATGTAAGGCAAAACGTTTACATACATATGTACACATAATATATAACCCTGGACAATTAACACAGCGCCATATATTACGTATATATTTAAAAATATATCTAAGTATTTATATCAGTTGTCTAGTACCCATAACACAAGCTCTGCTTACCGTGGGACTAGATGGCGCTGTGTAAATCGTCCAGGGTTATATATTATTATTTATTATTAATTGAAATGTTATCTTTGATTGCAGATAACATCGCTTCAAGCGGTAGGCGATGACCCCACATATGAGCACCTTCGGCAGCTGATAGTAGACTACAACGATATAGTGAACATCGTGGAGCTGGAGGGCACCAAGTTCATAGACAACTTCATCTTCTTCTCCATTGTACACAATAAACTTAAAACTGTGAGTATGAAGTCTAATTATTACTAATGTATTTATTTATATTACTTGAATGACGAGCGTCTATGGCAATAGTTGTTCATGCTCCGGATTTTCATTTAATAGAATAGAAAATCATTTATTCAAATAAACTTACATTGAAGCACTTTTGAATAGTCATTACATTTTTCTAATCTACCGCTCGTTCGGAAAGCTGTCTCATCACAAGAAGAATGAGCAAGAAACTTGCGTGTTGCTCTTTTAACTAATTTATTATTACTTTACATTTTTAAGTTTAAGTGTGTGAATACAAACCACCAATTAGCACTAATGTTACCTACCGTCCAGTTCAGTATATATGTTTGGGAAACTACTCTGCTACCAAATGATGATGATAAATGATGATACAGGGTATATTTTAAACAATATAGATCCAATTGAGAAGAACTGGCAAGATATTCAATTGAATGTTTTATTAATTTTCTTTAAAATCTAGTTTATTTACAATGTATATTTGTATAGGTGTCTATGTCTAAACAAAGCATCATCAGGCATTAAAATCTTATATATAAAATTCTCGTGTCACAGTTTTCGTTCCCATACTCCTCCGAAACGGCTTGACCGATTCTCATGTAATTTTGTGAGCGTATTGAGTAGGTTTGAGAATCGGCCAACATCTATTTTTCATCCCCCTAAATGTTAGGGGTAGTCCACTCCTAATTTTATTTTATTGTAAGGCAAAACGTTTGCCGGGACAGGTAGTTGTTATTATATTTTTATACAAGAACTTTGATTTTTTTTTATCTTAAATCGTCAACATGTGTTCATATTTTTTAATTTCTTTTGTTTGATTTTCTTGTTCGTTTTTTTATGTAATGATTTGTATTGTGTTACATATTTCTATTTATATGTTATAACTAGCTGTTCCCGCGACTTCGGTCACGTGGAATTTAAGTTTATTTTTCTAAAATAAAAGTCCCGTCAAAATCGGTCCAGCCATTTCAGAGATTAGCCGGAACAAACAGACAGACAGACAAAAATTGTGAATAATGTTATTTTGGTCTACGTAACGTATTTATATTCATATGCATGTAGTATAAAACTGTTATTTCAATATTACAAACAGACAGTCTAATTTTATTTATATGTATAGATTTATATGCTGTTGTGAGCATCATCATTGTTGTGTTGTGATGAGTGATTGTAATATATATTATTCTATTCTATTCTATTCTAACAGATCCACACATATGTGCTATGGAATCGCTTTGACACTACGGGCCCTACTTTCTTGATAGCAGGCAATCGTATACACTGCGATTGTAACACTGAAAAAATGCTAAAGGTATGTAACAAAAAGTTCATCAAAGAGGATGGTTATTTCGACTTAACTTAAATGTTTTTGGTTTCAAGCTGGATACCTTATATTTTTAATGATTTTTTGTTACGTATATTTAAATCTTGAATCCAAAACTGTTTGTCTATTTGTGCGTTAAGATTTAACGTAAAAAGTTAAAAAGTTACATGATTAGGAGGTATAAGGGACATGAAAGTCTGCATGTTATTTAAATATAAGTAGAGAAAACAGGGTTGTAAGGACTTGAAAGTAGACAGATGAAAGGTTGTATGGAAGTCTCGTCATTTTTAAAGTTAGAGCTTTGAAATTTTTTTTTAGGTTGTTGATGAAATATAAATAATTATGACATTATTTCAGCGCGGCTCATCGAGGTTATTTGTGACCCGAGAGCTGGTAGCTAGTTTGCCATTCAAAGAGGGCTAAGTATGGCCATTCAAAGAGGCAACGCTGCCAGTATCCTGGGTACGCTGCCTCGATGTGCCGCGTTGGATTACAGTGATTGTTTGTATTAATTATGTAAAAAAAATCTCGAATTATATACATATTATTATATATTACATTATGACATTCCACATCTGTAAAAAATTAACCTTAAGTTTGTATGGAAAATCGTTATTTTTGAAGCAGAACGATTTCTTTCTTTGGAATATTTCTTTATTTGATTATGTCAAAACACTATTTTATATCAACACGCAGTCGATGTCGCAGGCATAACACATATTACCATACTATATAACAGTTTTGTATCAACATTTAAAACGCACGGGCGAAGATTGTGGAAAGTGGCAAGAACTTCGCCGACAACATCGTTTCTCTTAAAATATGAATGAATGTGACAGTTGATAGAATCCAGATTAATTTTATATTTTTATTTTTATTTCTCTATCTACCCAAAGGTAGTCTGGAAGAGATTGCTTAGCGATAAGACCGCCTTTTGTATAATTTTTTCTCTGTAATTGGTGCAATATAGAGTATAAATAATAAATAATTTTCAGCCGTGGCTACAGGAAAACTTCAAAAACATACCGGACTACAAAAGTCTAGAATGCCAGGACAACATGGGTGCTGTGGTGGAACTAATTGAGTCACGTGTCTGCCACACGCCCCGAGATTGGACAGATTATATCTATTACATCATAGGTTTAGAAGTTTTAATACTAGTTCTACTTATTAGTAAAGTCTCTTATGACTACTGGGTGTTTAAGACAGCAGGGTACCTGCCGTGGCCTGCAAACAAAATGCCGAGGCTGCCGTGTGACTGGCTGTGCGAGTGAGATGGAAGACATCTATTGGGATTCCAAGGAATGTAATACATTCAGCCATGTGTTTAATGAATCGATAATCATAATCGGTTTTAAAAAGAAAACGGGATCATTTTTTTTAATATTTGTTATACATTTTGTATAAATTATGAAGTAAAAGATATTTTGTTATCTGTTCTATTTTGAAATCAGAATTAAAAGGATATTTTGATCAAATTTGATAATATTAAAAATCTTATAATATTATAAATATAAAGAAAATGTAATATAGAAATATGTGTTTTAGAATATGTTAGAGATCTCTTATGTTAAATATGTTGTAAATTTTAATGTATATGTATATAAATGTTGCTGTATAATTAAGTATGAATTAATATACAAGTCCCAATTTTGAAGTAGTAAGTAGTTTAGTAGTATTGACCGTTTGTTTGGAATCTCCAAATATCTCGATTATATAAAAAACATGCATAGCATTTTCAGGAAGAATGTCGTAATAAGGAAATCTTATCATTATAGGAAATATTATCATTTTTATAATCTCAACTTATGATCACTAATATGCAGCAAAGAGTTAGAATTAAATTATTTTGTCTATCGTAAGCAGAGTTATATATTTTTTAATTTATTGGCCATTGGCGATATAGGCAGATTTTTTTAAATTTTTTGGTTCATCATATAAGCAGAGACAATGAAGTTTTTTTTTTAGTTTTTTACACACATATTTTCTTTTTTTAATTTCGGGACGCAGATTTTTTTTTAAAGACATCGGATAAGCAGAGACAATAAAATATTTTATCTTGTTATTTTTTTAAACTTAAATAATTACGACATTATTCCTGTAATATTGTAAATCAAAGTAGTAAAACAGAAATAGTGGACTTTCATATCCGCATATATTGTGTGTTTGGAATTATGAGGCTAAGCGTAATTATTATTTAAAATGTTGATCGATGTAGTATTTTTTTTAATTTAAATTGCACAATTTACTATCTTCCATTCATCTAATACTTTCTTTTTTTAAACTGAATGTAAAATTATATTACATTTACATTTATATGAGGCTTACATCAGTTGAGAAATCAATTATATACTAGTTTTTATTTTCAGGTGCCATAACATTCAGCTGGCAGTTATTCTGATGCATTACTAAATTCAAATTTGAATCATTTTGCAAATGTAACAATATTTTCAAACTGGTACTAATAAAAAAAATATATAAGATAGACTTTTTATGACTATATTATTATCATTATACTGTGTAAAACAAAGTCGCTGTCGTTGTCTGTCCGTTCCTATGTATGCTTTAAATCTTTAAAACTACGCAACGGATTTTGAAGCAGCTTTTTTAGATAGTGCTCTAAGAGGAAGGTTTATATGTATAATACATGTACACCCGGGCGAAGCCGGGGCGAATGGGTAATAAATAATAAAGATATTTGTAAATTATTTTTAGTACAAGCATTAGTTTTATTCATAATAGTTACGTTTAGTAATGCATCTGAATTGTGGTTATTCTATTAAGTTTAACAGATTAAAATGATATAGATTTTTGTAAATAAGTACAATCAAGACTGTATATTTCGTAAGAGTTTATATAATTATAATAAAATATTTTATTATAAATTGTTTTTTTTTATTCTGCAAAGTCAGTTCGGAAACTAGTCCCTGATTTGTCAAATCACAGTCAGCAAACACAAGTAAACAGGTGTTTGAAAAAAAACATCCACTGTACACTATCCTACCTGTACTAGGATCACATAAATTACGTACAAACTTGTTTAGTACTGCTTTACTTAACAATTATACGAAGAGGGACGACGAGAGTTTGAAAGTACAGAAATGGTAATGTACTAGGAGAACATGTATTTACAGTGATAAATTTGTTAATTTCTGCATGACGTAACCATGAGGAAGAGGGACAACGATATGACAGTTGAGTTTGATAGTGCTAAAGTGAGAGATGTACAATATCCTATCTGTACTAGGAACACATGAATTAGCAGCTACAAACTTGTTTACTACTACTTTACGTAACAATTATACGAAGAGGGACGACGAGAGTTTGAAAGTACAGAAATGTTAATGTACTAGGAGAACATGTATTTACAGTGATAAATTTGTTAATTTCTGCATGACGTAACCATGAGGAAGAGGGACAACGATATGACAGTTGAGTTTGATAGTGCTAAAGTGAGAAAGAGATGTACAATATCCTATCTGTACTAGGAACACATGAATTAGCAGCTACAAACTTGTTTACTACTACTTTACGTAACAATTATACGAAAACGGACGATGAGAGTTTGAAAGTACAGAAATTAATGTACTAGGAGAGCATGAATTTGCAGCGACAAATTCAGCTTTACGTCATAATAAGAGGAGAGGGACTACGAGACAGTTGGAGTTTGATAATGCTAAAGAAAGATGGAGATGAACATCAGAAAGATACTTATTAAAAAACAAATTTTAGGCATTCCACAGAAATTTCTTGGCTAGCGGTTGCAATCTCACGTAATGATTTATAATAAATTTTTTTTTCTATGTTACTTTTATTAATATTTTCTTTTTTTTTTTTCGTTTAATCCTTACCAGTCAGTTAAAATTGAAATTATACCAATTATCCTCTGAACTATTTACATTATTTTTATTATACACACACACCGCACAGACAATCACCAATAATATTGCTCTTTTTTTATATATTTATTTTAATAATTATTTTCACGTTTCAAATGGGTTAAAGCTGAAAATCAGTGTTTTATTCCCCTGAACAATGTTCCACTCTGAGCTTCGACATTTTTGTATTGCCACAGATCACACATAATAACACAATTTTATAAATCTTATGTCGTATTATGTATTGTCTATTCTTATGAACATGTTGTGTGTGATTAGTAACAAACAAATAAACGATATATCTACCTATCTATCTATCTAGATATACAATATCCTATCTGTACTAGGAACACATGCATTAGCAGCTACAAAGATTTATGTAACAATTGGGAAGAGGGACGACGACGGCAGTGGTACGGTTGTACATAATAAAAGAGGTAATTTCATAAACATTACATATATTTAAAATAACATCATTTACTAGTTTTCTTCACTTCATTCGCGAGCACTTTCTTCTTTCTTCTCTTGAGATTAGATTTCTTTTTATTCCTATTGCCATTATTTTTGTTTGCTTCACCAGATATTTTACTATTTCTATTATTATTGTTTCCTTCAACTGCATTTATTTTCCTAAGTTTATTATTCTTTCCGTTTTTGACTATGTTCGTGTCTTTTGTTTCAGCTTTGTCTGTATCTTTGTCACCTTCCAATTTCCTCCTGTGAATTAAGTCGAGTAATAGTTATTTATGTTAATTAGTTCTACATGTGGTGGTAAACGGTAGTCTACGTAACCTATGGATGCCTGAAACACCAAGGATGCTATGTGGACCTCTTAGACCCTTAAGAAAAGGGGGCAAGGGGATTGTTAGTAATGTGGACTAATAACCCCATTGTTAGCAATGTACCATGTCAGGTTGACCTTCATGTGGTGGAAACCATCGCGATAAATTCATGGTGAATTTACCATCATGACCTAACTAACCTGACCTTATGCTCATCTTATCATCCTCCACTGGTGCCCTGCCAGCGTAAACAGCGCAGGCGGGTGCACCATTCCATTATCATCCATAAGACCCTTAAGAAACCTTTCATTTGTAGTGCCCGAGAGAATATTACAGTACAAGCACTCACTTGCTGGGTTTCTCGAGTGCAGTGGATATTTTGTCGCGGTGCGGTGCCTTCTTCATAAGTTTCTTCCTGCGGTTCGGGTCCTGTTTGAGTTTCAGCATGTACTCTGGTACATCGCAGCCGGATTGTTTCATTACAGATGCAATGCTGAAATGGGTTTAATAAATAGACACTTAAGGTTGAATTTCCTTGTGTTGATGTCTAGAGATAGTCTAGTAATGTGTCATATATATAGTCATTTCTTCATATAGGATTGATGGCCTCGATGGTCTAGCCGTTTAGCACATCGCTTTACTACCGACGGATCACGGGTTTGATTCGCGCACGATTAAAATATTTGTATTCATGTGTATGATTGTTTGTATTGGTCTGCGTTTTTCTATACATATTATGTATGTTTTTAAAAAAAACTATTTATGTATTTATATCTGTTTTGTAATACCCACAACCAGCGTCATCTAATCGAACTCGGGACCACCGAAAACACCCGAAAACACATAGACCGATACATACAATCAGTAAAAATGTTTGTATAGTGCGATATCGAACCCGCGACTATCGGAATTAAAGCGGTCTTCTAAACTAGGCCAATCAGTCATTAATACAAAAGTTTGTACCGTGCGAGGTATTGAACCCGCGACTATCGGAATTAAAGCGGTGTGCTAAACAGCTAGGCCAATCAGTCATTAATACAAATGTTTGTATTGTGCGATATCGAACCCGCGACCGTCGTAAGTAAAACAGTGTGTTAAAAAGGTAGGCCAATCAGTCATTAACACAAAAGCTTGTACCGTGCGAGGAATCGAACCCACGACTATCAGAAAGCGCTGTGCTAAACTGGCAAACCACCGAGGCCTGTACTTTGGACTCTTGGACATACCTCCTGAGGTTCACAACGTCATCTTGTGTGAAGAACGTGATGGCGCGTCCTCTTTGACCAGCACGGCCCGCGCGGCCGATTCTGCAAACGTATATAATGCCAAATCTATACATATAAATAAAATTCGAGGTGTCTGTTTGTAATATTGAAATAACCGTTTTTTACTACATGCATATGATACTACAATATAAATACATACACCAAAATAACACGTTTTACAATTTTTGTCTGTCTGTCTGTTTGTTCCGGCTAATCTATGAAATTGCTTGACCGATTTTGACAGGACATTTTTTGGCAGGTAGCTGATGTAATAAGGAGTAACTTAGGTTACCTTAATTTTATCAAAATTCTTTTAGTTTTTCTTAAAAAATTCATGTTAGCGCAGGGAGGTGCACAATTCCATTATCATTCATTAAAAAAAATGAGTATTCTAATTGAAGCTAA